AAGAAAAACATAACCACTAATTTAACTTAAACTGGTGTTAAAATTATGATAATACATACATTATATATTACCAATAGTACAAGTTGAATAATATGAGATATTCCAAAGTTCACTAGAAATGCATACTACTTAACGAGTTAAAATGGCTACTGCTTTTTCATAGATTCATTAAGAAATTTGTTACCTAAATTTCTTTTATGAAAAATCAGCAAAAGTTAATAAATAGAATGAAAGGGGGATCCCGATGATATTACTGACCTCTGGGCCTGGGCTGGCTCTCAATGCCCCTGGCAATTACGACATAATTTTGCTACATGTCTGGTTTTAATGAAAGGTATGATTTATAGTAACTGTTATAACAATTGCAGCATGCTTATATAACTTTAGTGTTTTAGTAGTATTTTAGTATTATATTTTTTTAAGTATATGTGCGTTGTGATATGAATTTCTTTTTGAAATATATTTTTTTTCATCAAGTAGAATTAAAATGATATGATAGAACTGGAACTTGCATATTTTACTTTTAAGCACTTATTTCTCTTTCTATTCCCATATGCTAAATTTGTGTTATCTTTATTATTTTCTCTTTCATTTCAGAGGGATTCCGTGATGGAGTAACATAAATTTAAACTTTTAAAATTGTCACTGAAAAGTGCCTGCAACAAATTCTTGAGACCTTGTTGCTTTTCAAGTTGTTGAAAATCCAGTAGTAATAGTAGTAGTTGAACTAGCTATTATTGAAGACATCGCAAGAAAACTTGGAACCAAAAAAGGGGTCCCCTGAAACTTGCTCTCAGTATGGCTGACCATATAAGCAGTGTGAGTATGGTAAATTGACGTATTCTAGTTGTATCATGTACAGTATTGTTGTAAACAAGCCAATTTAAAAAACAACAAAATTGCATTACAGTTGACTTTAAGACCTCTCTAACACTACTAGGATTAAAGTAGAATCAACTTACTAGCATGAGAGCTAACGGCAGTTATCTTCTCCAAACCCTTATTTATAATTCATCTTAAAATGTACTGGAAAGCTTGACATCAAATCTTGGAACTTTGTAGGTCTATCTTGACATCATCAGCACGATCGGTAGCTTCTACTAGTTAATGAACAAATTACAACATTAAAGTGTAGCTTACATCACTATTTTTGAATATGAGAGACGGAGTTTACAAAGCTCCAAAATCCACAAATGGTGTGGTAAGCCAAAATTCTGTATGAAGGTTAAGATGTTATTTAATAATGAATATGTGTGGATTATGCAAAATTAAATTAAAATAAAGCTTGTTTTCATTTAATGTGAAGCAAGGTGTCTGTCTTCCACTTTCAAAATACACATGGAGAAAAGTGTCTAAAGGTTAAGAGTCTGTGTCCTGAAGATTTTGGTGATTATGCAGACTTTTATGTGTTTCAGTAGAGTTTTGTTTACTATACAGAGTGTTTATTTGCTTACTGTAAATCACTGCAATACCAATATTGTTCACCACCCCCTCCATTTCCTCTTTAGAGTGCATACCTCAAAGATTTTGAACATTCTTGTATCCTTCTCAGCTGATTGGAAAATTTTCAACTTGAGTGTTTTTGTGGAGATAAATAAACTGATCAAGTGATTGTCATAAGTGTTGTGTTAGTTTGCTATATATTGATATAATCATGTTAGTTATTTTGTCCTGAACCAAGGTTCTGTTCAGTGGTTCCAAACACTTTTTCAACTGAGAACCAGCTAGTTCCAATCCTGAAATTTTATGGATTACTTTGTTCAGTATTAACTTTTTAAAATACTTTCAAATTACAGTGTAAAACAATATACTTCAATAGCTATATTTAAAAAAAAATTTCTAACCAGCTGAAATTTTTCTGTGGACTGCAATTTTTCTATTGTTCTAACACTAAAACTGTTCTTTATTTGAGAACGTTTATTGAAATATTCTGTAAAAAGTGGGTCATCTTCAGTGATAGTACAACACTAATCATGCTGAATGTCAGCAATGGGCCATCTGTTGATCTTGTTTGATCGTGCACAAGTTAATTGAAATGTGTACTTATTGGGGGTTTCATTTTTATCAACAAAACTTTTGTGCGGAGTACTTATTTATGTGAATTTCATTTTTTCTTGGTTTTCATATTAACAAACCTAAAATAAGCTCGTATGTAATGTTCAAATGACTCCATGTATTTAATCCATTTCTTATGTTTCTTTTATCACTTCAAAATTTGTTATGAAGAACAAAAGGGTACATCTTTAATTCCTCATTAAGTACCTTTCTGTTAATTCCAATATGCTAAAATAATTTATGATTAACATTATGACTTAAATATTCATACTGTGTATTGTTAGTTATACATTTAAACTATATAGATTTCTTTGCAGGTAAATTGCTTGATTAAAATTATTATTTTAACAGTTTTTATTACATACATCCAAATAATGCTTCAAAATATATGAAACTACTGACCAGTCAATGTGGCACCCTCTTGAATTTTGTGATGTATTAAAGATTTTGGAAATTCCGTGCAGCCTTCTACTTATTTTGGCCAGATTTTGTGATTGTGTTTTCAATACTTAACATCAGTCTGTGGTAATCTTAAGTATCAATGGAACTTTCTTTGTGTTTTTTTATGAAACTGGAATTTTATGACAAAAATGTGACTTTCATTTTTACTAGTTTTTCTATTTTCTTCCCTTCTTCACCTGCAGTCTCTTCAGTGTTAAATCTTTCAAAAGGTAAAATGAACTTTATATTAACTGTACAAGTAGTATACAAACATGAAGCTATGATGTTTATACGTATATTCAGTTTTGAAGTGGTATATTACTCCCCTCCCCCTTCTTTTTTTTATAATTTTGTGGTCTATTATAATTGGTATACCACACTGGTATTTTATGCATTTAACTGTTTAGTAGAACATTTGTGTGTGTGTGTGTGTGTGTATATAATATATATATATATATTCGTGAAACATCATATTTTTTGTTTCTTTTAATAAATATCATAGTTCTATTTCAAAGGCTAGTTTTTTTTCTTCAAACAGTCATAAAATAATATATATTTTTATGCATCCAAAATGCCAAAATATTTTGGATTGCATCACAAAAACCCAAAGGTACCTAACTAGTGGGGAAGAATGGGCAAGTGCTGCTCCACCTTGAATATTTCTAATCACCAGTTCTTCCTTACCCTACCCTCCACACATTAAACAAGGTTAGATGCCTATACAAAAGCTTTATTTTGTATTTTAAGATTTGGTTAACTATTGTTCTAAATTAATTAAATTTTTATGCTGATTAAGATTCAGGAATTGTAACTGTACTTTCAAGATAACAGAATCACATGCCATAGTGACCTGACTGGATGACATATCTAGCTGTGTGTTAATAAGGCTTAATTTTTAATATTTATGACTTCTGAAACTTCAATAAATGATCTTCATGATATTTTTAAAGCGTATTTGAACAATATGTTAGTTGTGTGTAGTAAAAAAAAAACTTGTACACATGCACATATGTTTGTGTGAGTATTTAATGGTGCTGTATTCTATACATATCAAAAGTAATACAGTTTTTTTTGTTTTGTATGTGTGACTAGTATCCTGTCCTGAAATCATTTTTAGCTGGATCCTTCAGTGGCACTTGCTCAACTCTACTGTTTCAGCCACTTGACCTCATCAAGACACGATTACAAAGTCCTTTTCAGACAAGGTGAGTCACATTGGAAGAAAAAAAAACTAGCAGATACACCCGTGAGACGTTTATGAAATCACTTATATGATTCCTTTTCTGATTTTATAGGGAAAGGTCTTATTTTCGTTTTAGCTATGGCTACATCTTTACTGGGATTTGTGGCTATGTATGCAAGAAACCTGTCTAGGTTGGTATGTATGTACTCTATTGCTATGTACATAGAAGGGGATATCTCCATTTACAATAATTTCATATAAAGATGCATTCGATCTGTCTGTGATAATTAATAGTACTTCATTAATGAAAGGAAAAATAGTTATATATTACTTATTACATACTCATAGCAAGTTTTGTAACAACAGACTTGTATAAAATATTTCAGTGCAAAGGTAAATTGAGTAATTTCTATTTCATATGCTTAAATACTTAAATTTTGAGTTTTAATTACCAGCTAGAAGTTGTGATTGGTCGTCTACGACGAAAAACCTCACATTGGAGGAAATCAATTTCATTAGACCACACAATCTCTTTACTTTAAGTTATCCTTTCTGTTCTTAATAAGCTACTCTTACATACTTTCTTTGGCATGATCACAATGTGACTGACATGTAAAATACAGAAAAAGAAATAATGTGTCATAATAGAGTGCACACCGTTGATAGGTGTTGTTATGAGGTATTTATATCAATGAATGTTAAATCCTTTAAATTAGTGTTTTTCAATCTGTGGGGCATGCCCCCTCTGGGGGTGCAGCCTTTTGGTGGGAGAGCCCAAAAATGTTGATTTTACTTGCAAAAATTATTTTAATGTGGGGCAGTGCAATGGAAACTTTACTGAGTTAAAGGGGTGCTACTATTTAAAGTTTGGAAACACTGCTTTAAATTATTGATATTTGAAAACAAAATTTTTAACTATTATGAATAAAGAAATGTTTGTTTTTCCATAATATGCTAGTAACAATATAAAGATTGAAAGTATATGTAAGAATAAAATTATTCATGTCCACTGGGCTTGATTATTTAAATAACATTTTTGTGTGTTTTAGTTTTTTATCAAAAAGCAACAAATGTGTGTGTGCATATCATGAAAGTATGTGTAAAAAAAAAAAAAAGAAATCCCTCAAATGATTGATGGGACTTGAAAATAAAATGCAATTGTAGAATTAATGTTTTACAAGTTATGAATATAAACAGTGTTTCTGTTCTTGTCCTAAGTATGCTAGTAATGACTGAAAATGCACAGATGGCATGTACACCCCATGTAATAAAAGAGGAAACTGGGAAAAAACCCATCAGTACCCTAGTGGCCACGCATACTGACTGATCTATATGTAGCCATCACTATGAAATCTATGCATTTTAAAAGAAAAATATCTTCTGGACACCTCATGAATCATTTGTAGTTGATTAAACCACATTTGGCAGGTCCAAATGTAAAAGTGTAGGAGGAGTTGGAGGTCAAACAAACACACTTCTCTCAAAGTAGGATTACAGAATAAGTAAAGTTTTTTATTTTGGATTTTGCTCAAAGCTACACAAGGATTACTTAGCCCTAGTTATCCATAATTTCAAATTTCTAGATTATAGGGAAGACAACTAGTCAACAGCATTCAACACCATCTTTTGAGCTACTATTGTCTTATCAAATAGTTAGATTTGGGTAGAACTGGACAATTTAATTGATTATCTCTGAATAGTGATTACATTGATTAGTGTTACGTAAACTAAGGCGTGGCATGGCCTAGTGGTGTGGTGTTTGACTCACAATCTGTGGGTCATGGGTTCGACTCCCATTCACTGAATATGCTTGCTCTTTCAGCTGTGGGAGTATTATAATGTGGTTGTCAATCCCATTATTTGTTAGCAAAAGTGTAGCCCAAGAGTTGACAGTGGGTGGTGTTGACTAGCTGCCTTTCCCTCTAGTTCATCACTGCTAAATTAAGGATGGCTAGTGCTGATAGCCCTTGTGTAGCTTTGCATGAAATTCAAAATAAACAAACACGTAAACTAACAGATTGATTGAAATTAGTGTTTGTAATTATTACTGTCTTTGATTATTCCATCTATCGAAATAGTTGAAATATTGACATCATGTTTGTTTGTTGTTAAGCAGAAAGCTATATAATGTAGTAGTGGAGGTGCTACATGAGTTGAGGGTTATAGATTCAGTTTTCATAGCCACTGAACTTGTTCACTCTGTCTTTGTTATTGAAAAGCTACTAAGACTATTTACCACTGTCACTAGTTTTGAACAGTGGTTAAGAGGGAAGGCAACTATCTGGCAGCACCCATCACCAACCTCTGACTACTGAAGTGTTAAAGTGTATAATTATTGTTTGTTTACATTGTGTTATGTTTGTAATTTATAATTATGTAATTGTATTATATGTTTTATAAGTGAATGCAGATCAATGGAGGGGTGACATTCTCCATTTCTTTTCAGACATTAATAGAAAAGACAACCAGACCTCCTTACACTACAATATCAAAAAAGAAACATTAGATATCTGTGTTTTTATTTGATTAGGCTCTTAGGTATCGTAAGTTTTTTCAGGTTTTCTGAAGTCAACACAACTGGAGTCTACAACAATTCAATTAAGGCATCAGCCAGTAATTGGTTATTTCTGAGCTAATACAACAATTTGAATGTTAATTAAACATTGCTGTATTAAATGTTCATGCTTTGGCTTTTTGCAGACACTAACTGTGTGTGTGTAGACTTTGGAGATTTATTTTCATCAAAGGTAGAATTGTTTTGGATATCTACAGCTCTTATAACATACCTTGTTGCAAAATCAATTTTTCATGGTTTAAAAGCAAGATTTCTCATAAGAAAGATTTTTTTGTGTTGTTGATGTACAAGTGAAAATGGAAGTGGTATGACTGTAAAAGTAACGACTTTTAATAGAAATTCTTAAAATGGGCAATCTTAGTTATGAATGCTATAATATTTTGTTCTAAATATTGTAAATAATTATAAATATCTAATTTTAACTAAAGAATTTGATAGTGCTTAATGAAATGTGTTCAGTTAATAGCCTGTTGATTAAGCAATTAGCAAATACTGCTAATTATACAGCTCTAGATTTGAGTCACAGAAAGGGTTGCAAACTAGGAATCTTTGGATTCACAGTCTGAGTATGCTAACCACTAGGAAAGAATAAAGTTCTTGCAGTAAAAATATTTTTGAGCATAGTATTTATACATTCATTAAATTATTTTATGGTTTTTTACCTCTTGTTAGTATTTTTTTGTGGTCTTTTATTATCATTATACTGCTTTGAAATTTTATCCATGAACTTGTTCACCAGAAAACCTTGTGTTTTTTAGATTGAGTAAATAGTAGTTGGTTTGAGCTATCTTGCATTTATCAGTCATTCTCTGTTTGTTTTAGAACTACAGGATATGGAATGGTCTCTCTGTTGTGCCATGTGGTCAAAAATGAAAAAGTGATTGGTCTGTGGAAGGGAACTGTTCCAGTAAGTTTAATGTATTTTGACGTAGGAAGTGTAGTTACATAACTATTTGTTACTAGAGTGTACATTTACTCCTACAGTTTCTCTGAAAGCTATACACATATAAAGATTTAGTGAACACTATCAAGTAACTAGCAAATGCATTTTTAATTCATCTAGAAAAACAGACCTTAAACACAGCCTTCTCCAAACCCTTATACTGGATGAGATGTGTCAGCATTGTGGCTTTAACTCTGACAAAGAAAAAAGATTCTCAAACAACATCAACAACATGCGTCCCAATGTTTATACAATTGAAAATGAAGAAAATTTCTCCATAACTTTCTGAATGTCCGCATCATAAGAAAATAATCAGGATTTGAAACTAAAATTCATAGAAAAGCAGGAAACTGAATAGTGCCTTAATTAACTGGAAATCCACACATTCATTATAACAAACTAGAAACCTTGAACTACATAAAATATCTGAAATCTTCATTCAAAAAAACAACTATCCAGAAGAATTTGTTAAGAAAAAAGATAAGATAAAAAAAAAAAGGAAATCTTAAAAATAGAAATAACTTCAACTTCATCACCACTTCAATTCTTCATGTTGAACGCATTAGCAAAAACTTTACTGGATTATGGAAAATGACTCGGGAATAAACACAAGATTAACCTAAATATCACAATTATACAAAAGCCAGGTATTAAAATCAAGAACCTTATTACTAACAATTATCCCATTGAAAATAAAAACAGTGGAGTCATATACAAAATTAAATGCAATTCATGTAAGCACTTTCATACCAGAACAACTGGAAGAGAAATGACCCTTAGAATTAAGGAACATCACGTGCTTTAGAACATCTCAAAGAAACAAGACTTTCCCTTGGAAACAATGTCAAAATCATCTAAACCAGACATAAAAAAAAAAAAATTAACTGAATCACTACTGATAAAGCCAATGCTAAATAAATATCCAGGAACCCCCCTTTATCTATAGGAATATTTTATCAACCTAATTTTCCTAAACAAAGCCAAATTTATGCTACTAGCAAACTTGTCCTTATTGTCACAATCTGTAATATTCTTTCAAATTCAACTATCTTTTTGAATGTATCTCTTACCTTTGATGGCTCAGTACTGTGAATCAAAACACTGTATTTATTAAAATATATTGTTGCCTACTGTAAAGGTTGCTGTTAGTTTATTGTGTATTAATGTTTAATTTTGTTTCTCTGTATTTTTATTACATGGATTGGAGTAGTTAAGTTTCATTAAATGTTTTAAGATAATTATAAAGACAAACATTTATTTCTGGTCTAATTATATTTTTCCAGCTCTCATTTCTATTCGTATTAAGTCGGAGTTCAGATATTAATAAGTAAAGATTTAATTTTCATAAAGGTATTTTTTTTTTTGTACGTAAAGAACACAAGGCTAATGAACAAACATAAAAAATCTATGAAATCTTGATTTTTATAATTGTTACATGAAAGTAATAAATACGAAAGATTGTTTAAAAAGATAGAAATTCAGAGAACACAAAAAAGGGTTAATTAAAATAACCTAAAAAATATCCAAAAAAAAACACCACAGATCATAGCTTTCAGTTTTTGAAAGCTTCCTTGTCGGAAGTGAAAGTGGGGAATTTTTAATTTTTTAAAATAATTGGTATTATTTAAACTTCTTTTTGCCATATACAGTACATATCAATAAAAAAAAACATACAAAACTGTAGAAGTTCCCACGAAGCTTAATCAGCTTATTTGTGGAAAATTCCTTAATAACTGTAACCAAAGTTAATTATAATATTAATCCTATGTGACTAAAGTACCATTCGCTGAATATTAATCAGTTTGTCTATGAACACCAGTTAATAACCAAGCTTTTAATTTTTTTTAAACTCTGCAATCATATTTATATTCCTTAACTCCCTGGGGAGTTGGTTTGTTATGTATGGTATTTTATAATCTTTTATTCTTGTTCCATAGTTATTATTGTAACTTGGAATTTCATAATACTTATTTTGTAATGTTTTAGTATTATACATATGATTTTTTGTACTTCATGATTTAAACTATAATGGGAATTCAAAATTATTATGTATTTATAGAGTGCATTTAGATCAACTAACTGATTTCTTATACTTCCATCTGTTAATGTAACATTTGTATTAAGTTCATCATTTTTGTTTAAGATTATCATCTTAAATATTCTTATTTGAATTGTATATTTTTTAAAGTAAATGTTACTTGTTGAAGCATATATTGTCAATCCATAATGTATAACAGATTCTGATAAAGATACATAATTTTTTTAATTAACCCTTTAAACATGGGTAGATGAGATTACCATTTGCTGAACCAGGAAAGGACATTTGTGCAACAAAAATATGGTAACTCTGTGTATTTCTCACAAAACCTTGTAAGATTTTGTTGAAGTTTATAAGTATTTTGTACACAAAGAATGACATTATTCTAATTACATCTTTTTAATAAAAATATTCTTTATGAATAGTAGTTACTTGCACTCACTGATAAAATAGTTTGAGTGCAAGGTGATTTTAATTTTAAGTATAAGAAATACTTTTCTTGATCTTATATTTTTCATATTTCATTTGCATAACTTCTAGAACCTCCTGAATTAACATCAAAAGTTTTTCTAAAGTAAATATTTATATATTTTATTTTTAATTTTCTTTACCATATCACTAACTCTAGCTATTATGATCAATGTACAATGAAATGAAATGATTAGAATTAGGAAAAAAAAATACACAAACACACCTTTTAAGTTTTTGTAAAATATCTTTACAGATAATTTTGAGTCTTTTCACATATATTTAAATCTTAATGTTTTGTTTCCATTCTTGTACATTCCCACTTGTTATTGATCTGGACACAGTCAACAGTGCCTTTGAGGCATATTACAGTTTCTTTGGGGGACATGTGCAACCCTTTGGCAAAATGTTTGTTCAGTTTGTAATATCGTACACCTTGAGAATGGACACAAAATATGATGTATATTTAAAAAAATTTTAAACCTTTTAATTATGCGTTTTAATACATAACTAATAAATAATTAAGTAAAATATAATAGTATGATCTAAATACAATTTAAACTGTATCTCTAACTATAAGTCATTTAGGTAAGAACCAACAGTAAGTGCTATAGTCAATCAAGCAGCCAACAATACTACAGTCAATTTGATGTAAACTGTGACAACAACTGTGAACCAATTTCAAAATAACTGGTGTTAGATTAGAGTGTAAAATGATCTCTTTCTAATGACCTTACACGTTAGTATATAACATCTCCATGTAGGCTATAAAGTTCAAACAAATCTGTTCAAGGTGGGCATGGCAGCTATCAGGGTTTGAAAAATTTATTGCTTGTTTCAACTGTATTCATTCAGAGAACTTTGAAATGAACAAGTCAAAAGGTTATCTAAGCATCGTATTGTCTAGACACACCTCCACTGAACGACCATTGTATTATTGAAGACACTTCTCATAGCTCTTTGGTTGCATGACAATACATCTGAAGTTAAAGTAGTTTTTTAAAGGTTCCTTGTGAAATAAAGGACTTAAAACTTAGAATTGTAACATTCTTTAATTTGTTAATTTCATTCACATACATTGATATTAGAGGTGTTTAAATTTTGATTGTAACACAGTGACTTGCACAGAAAAGGACTTAAAGGGGTACATGTTGCAAAAGTTTTAATTGGTAAAATATTCTGTATCCCCCCCCCCCCAATAATTTTGCTGTAATAGGTCTTAATTTCTTGCAAATGATATTTATATGTTTAGACCATCTTAAAACATCATCTATAATTAACCCTAAGCACATCTTATTTTTTAAATTTTCTATGTACAAAACTTTACAATCAGAATAGTGTTTATTATCTACAAGTAAATGTTTATATTTATTATTACATATTTGATCATGAATTTGTAAAAAAAACCAAAAAAAACCTTTGTTAATATTTGAATATTGCGAGTGAACTATCACAATTTTTGTTTTGTCAGTATTCATATATATTTCATTTATTTTAAGCCAATACGTTCATTTACTGAAATCAACTTGTAAAATTTCTTTGCCAACTTTTTCATCAACATGAGTTACAGTTAAAGCTGTTTTACTCTTTAAACCTATATTTATAATATCATTAACATACAAATTAAACAGTGTTGGACCCAAAATAGAACCTTGTGGAACACCATATTTTTATAGTCATTGGATTGTTTTTTATTTCTCAGATTTTTGTTATTGCAACCCTATAACTCAAATAATTCATGAACCAGTTGTGTAACTTCTCCCTTATACTCATGTGTAGTTTATCCAGCAGTATTTTATGACTTAATGTATCAAAAGCTCTACTGAAATCAAAGAATAACACAAGAAGCTTTTTATTTTTATCTAATTGTAAAGTTACATCATTTGAAAAGTTTTCTAATAGTAATGCAGTACTTTCACTTTATTTTTTTCTTCAAGTGATTTATCACTAACATGATTATTTACTAATTCATTAATGCATTTCCAAATTTCTTTCATTTTACCCTGAATGCCAGAAAATTTTGTCATATAATAATTCTTATTAGCCTTTCTTATAAAACACATTACAGAATTTATCTTTGCTTTGTAAACTGCTTCATTTGTTTCATTCTGCTGACATCTTATTAAATCTCAAATATCAAAATCTACCCAAGGTTTATGCTAGGTATTCCTTCTTTTTATTTTAATCTCAAATGTATTTTTTTCCTCAATTTCATTTAACATACAAACCAATTTTTATATGCTATCTCAGAATCTTTCGATTTTAAGAAGGAACTCTTCCCAATTATATCCCCCCCCCAGGAGCAGGGTGGTATTTCAATACCTGTGGTAGGCAGAGCACAGACAACCCTTTTGTGTAGCTTTGTGCTTAACTTCAATAAAACAACCAACCCTATTATGACTGTTTATATCAATTATAACACTGATTATTTTAATTTTATTAATCACTAGAACATTATCTGTGCTCTTTTTCCATAGTTTGTTCTATTGTCTTTGAACTGCTTTTTAAATTAACCAAAATCATCTTATGATCTGATATTTTTTTTCCTTGATCTTTTTACATTTACACCTGTAAGTTTTGTATACACATGATCTAAACAAGATTTAGCCAACTTTCCACTTCTCCATTCTTACCTTGTGTTAACATTTATATTTTGCTGAAGTTCATTAAGATGTAACAAGTTTTGATAGTCATTAATTAGATTAATATTTTCAATATTTTTTATTTAGTATTGATATTTATATCACCATGGTATACTATATGTTTATAGTTTTTTAATTTATTTAGCAATTTTTCCTAATTTAGAATATAAAGATTAGAATTGTAATTTGGAAGCCTGTAAATTGGAAGTAATAAAGCTTTACAGTCATTTAACTTAACAGTAAATGATATTTCTGGATCTTCCAAACTTAATTTCACTAATTCTATGGATAAATGTGTTTTATAAAAAAAATTTATTACTTCTACATTTATTAATGTTTTCATAGCCTTCCAAATTATAATTTTGAATTTCATGTTCTTTTAGAAAGGTCTCTGTGATTATTAATATATCTTATTGTCAAAACTTCACCAGCAACTGTACAAAAAATAGTCCCACTTATTGTAAATATTATTAAGACCCAGGCACTGCAAAAATCTAGGCCCTGATATGGCTGCACCTTTTTTATTTTTTTTATTTTAATTACTGATTTGACAACTCTCTACTTTTGCACTTTCTGTTGTAGTTAATATTCATCATAGATACAGTACATGAGGCTAATGGATCACAGAGACGACAAATATGGCATGTTCCTTTCTTTCTCTTTTGTGTTCATCACATACTCTGCCAGTTACTACTGTTTCCTGGTATCCGATTGAAATTCTGAAAGTTGTGTTGAAGTCAGCTCAACTGATGTAGCTAAATTGTTTACTAATAATTACTGTTGTGCTTTATGTGCTTTTTTCAATTGTTTCGTAATTTTGTTTTGGCCAAATGTTTAGTAAAATATCCTACGTTTTGTAGCTGTGGGTTTTAATATGTAACAAATTCAAAATATCACCTTCAGTGTATTCTAATTTGTATATAACATCATTTATAGTACTATTTTTTTTACAATTTATATTTCTTAGATTTCTTAGATTCACTATTTCTTACATTAACATCCATAGATTACAACAAATTAAATTATAAATTTTCAAAATTACAATCCAAAAAAAAACGTATATGCAAATAATGATGAGGCAAGTGGGTGAAAGTGAAGGCAAGTCTAAGGTGTAGCAGAGGCCAGTTGATCTTGTAGAAGGAGCAAGTTGACAGCAATTGTTGACAATTTAATGAAACCAACTGAACCAAATGGGCCTTTACAGGGCCTGTCGGGGATCAGTGGATCCAAGTGCCATGGCCCGGGATCTATAGATCCAATGCCTAAAAGTTTGGTGTGGGAGGAAACGGGAGTACCCCAAGAAAACCCACTTTCACTAGTTGGGACCGGAAATTGAATTAATATTTTTGAAATTAAATTACTGTTTCAAGTATTATTAGCCTTCACACTCTCCACATCCTTTTTCAGTATTTTGATATCTTCTTTATGGTTGCTTTGTATTAAGGATATTTCATCGTACCTAGCTGACAAAAAGTTTATGGAATCTTTGATTTCATTTATATATCCATTTTTGTTTCATCTAACGTGTTTAATTTTCTATTTTTATTTTGGAGCATGGTAGCTACCATTGTATTCTGTAAATCGTGTTCAGTCTCATCCAGATCTGAGTTGTTTAGAATCTTCTCTTGACCTCCAGTATCAATAGATTTTAATAAATTCATTGTTTCATTAACATTTACATATACCAGATTTCTGTTGTTTATTGCAGTCAAATTATATTTCCTGTCATTGAATAAACCAGAATCGTTTACTGGTATCTCGAAAGTGGTAACAGCGTTATGACAATTTTTTGGCATTAGACGTATGTCTGTCTGTCATCTCTGACAAACCACTACAATTTCCTTAACATCATTTTACATAGTCTCTGTTGACAAGTAAAGGCTTTATACAAACATCACAACATTTAGATGCCATTTAACGAGTTATTTCTTATTTCAGTGCATGATTTTTTTTCAATAAATAAAAAGCATGCAATTGTAAACTTAGTCACAAAGTATTAACCATGCCAAAGTAACCAGACTTTTCATTAGCCCTTTGAAACATTATTCTTTCTTTATATTATAATCAAAAGCAATCTGTTCAGAATTTTTTTCTTTTCAATTTCAAACATCTCGCAACTATTAAAGTATACTGATGTTAAAGATATTAATAATTTTAAATTTATTGTTTGTTACATATGTTTCTCTAATTGATTTCAGAATGAAATAATGTAAAGTTTTTATTTATAGGTTAAGTGATACTTAAAAATATATTTTGCTTTTTATTGCCCAAAATTCAGACATTTAAAGAATAAGCAAATCAGTATTAAAAGTTCTAATGTGTAAATAAAAATGTTTTTATTTTTCATAAGTTAAAAGAATTATTACACACAAGAAAGCTATTGTAAATAGAGGATCTGTTTCCATTCATAATACAAAATTAAAGTGTCCTCTTCTCAAATTTGTATATTGTGCAAAAATTTTCAGACTATTTAATTTCAGAATTTGTATAATGTATATGTGTGCCTTATACATATATTTGTTTGATTTCAGATAAGTATAAAGAAGTTGTAGCTATTATATTTTTAATTTTCTTTTTATGTTTTAGAACATTTAGCTCATATACCTACCTTGGTCAGGCTGATGTGGAATTAAAAAAAAATAGTTTGTTTTGTTATTATTATTATTATTTTATTTTTTATTATTTTGTAGTCAATGACTCGTTGTGTCCCAGGGGTTGGGCTGTACTTTTGTTCGCTCAACTGGTTACAGCGAACACTTGAGTAAGTTTCTAACCTATGATGTGTATTTTGAATGATGCAGCTATATAATTACGAATATTGCAGGACTTGAATAAATCTTAAGTAATATTTGAAACTTTGACTTGAAATACTGTAATAGTTTTATTAGGTGTTACGTTAATTACATGCTGTTACACTGACTTGTAGAAAAATAATTATCTCAAACCTGGATATATATTTTTTACACTATACATGTGTATCACACATACGTGTGTGTGTGTTTGTAAATTATTACTGAAATTGGTTTCATGTCAAGATGGATATGTCTAAGAAAACAAACACAAGTTTACTTATATATGCTATAAGTAATGTTGTGCCATGTTTTAACTTTATATCATTTAAAAAGTTTAATAGCTGCTATGAAGATGTAATATTTTATATAATATGGCCATATTCTCTTGTATTTTGTTGGTATTTTAGTTTCTTTTCATCTGCATCTCTGCCATTCCTTAAGAGAGCTAGGTTAAAATTAGCCAATAGGGAATACTTTATACTTGATTTTACATATCAAAAGTTAACTTTTGAATTTTTCTGCACATTAAATCCCATATGTTAAGTTAAAAAAACATTCATGATTTGTTCATAAAAATATTCTTATACAAATAAATGTTGGGGAGAAAAAGCATTTATTAAACTAATATGTATCTTTAGATAGGAGAAATTTATATAAACACATTATTTTTGACAGAATAAACCTGATAGCACTCAGCATAATTTAAGGAGTTTTTAACTGTCAAAATATATTTTTCTGTGGCAGCATGTTCGTATATTAAAGATACCAAAAAGTAACTGTTATAGCAAATATCCATGTAGTATATATTTTGTTGACTAACACATAAAATGATTTCTATGTACCTCCCCTTTTACATAAAGGATACTAGTGGACAATTACCACCCAACAGTCTTCTGTACACCAATATTCCATGTGATGAAGGTCTACAAACTCTAAAGTCCACATTAAATCTTTCTGAACAATCATAATCTCACAGTAAATGATCTTGCCAGCCTGGTTTTAACTCTGAAGAACTTCGAATTCAATAACGAGTATTACATTCAGGTTAATTGTACTGCAATGGGTACCAAAATGGCTCCCAATTATGCCTACATTTTTATGGGTCATATTGAAAACCAGTTTTTACAACTAAGACCTGTAAAACCTCATACATAGAAATGTTACATAGACAACATTTTTCATTTGGACAGCTAGTCTTAAATCACTTAAAGAATTTATCTCGCATACAAACTCCTTTTACAAAACAATCAAGTTTACCTGTGATTACTCTCCTACCCAGATTAACTTTCTTGACGTCACTGTTTTTCTAAAAGACACAATTTTATACACTGACTTGTACAAAAAACCTACAGACAGACCACAATACCTTCACTATAAAAGCTGTTAACCCTCTCACGCTAAACAAAACATTACATACAGTCAAGCTCTTAGAATAAAGAAAATATGCTCAGATGAAACAGACTACAGAAAATTCACCAAGGATCTAAAACAAACCATGTTACAAAGAGGATATAAAGATATCGAAATCAATGGACAAATTGAAAAGGCTTAACTACACTCAGCGGGAAAACATCTTAAATCAGAGCAATACTAAGCTTTCAAATATAATTCCTTTTATTATTACCTATCAGTTTAAACTCAGAAACGTTTCACGAATTCTGAATAAAACATTTTTATCTCCTACAACTGAACGATCCTGAAGTTCCGGTTGTCTCCTTCTGAAAAAGCAGAACTCTAAAAGATATCCTTGTTCACACAAAAGTGAATTACATCCCACCCAAAAATGTTTGTCGTCCATGTAATAAAGCCCCTTGTCAAACCTGCAAGTTCAGAAAAACCACTGACTCATTTTCTGACAAGCACAATCAAAGAAACTTTAAAATATCCAAAGAACTCAATCATGAAACAAAAAACACCATTTACCTTATACAGTGTAAAACATGCAATTACCAATATGCAAGACGTACATAAACAACTCTTAGAGAACGTTTCAACAACCATAAATCTTCTATTAACACTAAAAAAGATCTCCCTGTTGCTAAACACTTTAACCAACCCAGTCATTCCATTAACAGTGTTACTCTCATCGGCATTGAAACAGGATTCAAAACTAAACCAGATAGAGAAATAAAAGAAGCTTATTGGATTGCTAATCTAAACACTGTTCAACCTTTCAGAATTAATCTAGATCCTGGAATCAGTGATCTCCATTCATTGGTTTCATCTCTGACAAAAAAATAATTTTTGTTCTTTGCTTATTTTTTTCATGTAATGTGAATGCCGAATTTCCTAAAACTTACTATTTATTTAAGATAATTTTCCATACTTTTTATAAATTGATTAGCATAACATATCATTTTCAATCAGTCTCCAGGTTTCATCTTTATTTTACTTAAACACTTAAGTATAGTTTCAAATATACATATATTTATCCATTTCTAAAGTAAAATATCCCTAATCCCTTTTCGCATACACTCTCTCCATTGGCTACGCTGTACCGGAAATGAGATGCTTACAACAGTACATAGAGAAATAGACTAAACATTTCCGAAAATCCAGATGACCTTCATGACATCACTAAACTCCCTC